ATTTATTTATTTATTTATTTATTTTTGGCTGTGTTGGGTCTTCGTTTCTGTGTGAGGGCTTTCTCCAGTTGCGGCGAGCGGGGGCCACTCTTCATCGCTGTGCGCGGGCCTCTCACTATCGCGGCCTCTCTTGTTGGGAGCACAGGCTCCAGACGTGCAGGCTCAGCAGCCGTGGCTCACAGGCCCAGTCGCTCCGCGGCATGTGGGATCTTCCCAGACCAGGGCCCGAACCCATGTCCCCTGAGTCGTCAGGCAGACTCTCAACCACTGCGCCACCAGGGAAGCCCTCAGTATGATCTTAAATGCTATGTCTTCCTTCACTCAGACACATAGGGAAGCTTTTAGTTCTCACTGAACTTAAAAGTTCAAAGAAATCATCTGGATCAGGGTCAGATATCTGACAGGCAGAACCATGGGCCCCAAAGATGCACACATCCTGATTCCCAGAGCCTGTGAGTACCTTACATGGCAAAAGGGATTTTGCAGATGTCATTACATTAAGGACCTTGATGTGGGGAGACTGTCATGGATTATGTTGGTGGGTCTAGTGTAATCACAAGGGTCCTTAAATGAGTCAGAGATGTGAGGACGGAAAGACAGCTGAAGATGCTGTGCTGCTGCCTTTGAAGGTGGAGGAAGGGGCCACAAGCCAAGGAATGCTGGCAGTCTCTAGGAGCTGGACAAGGTGAGAAGAATCCTCCCCTAGGGCCTGAAAGAACCAACCCTGCCAACACTTGGATTTTAGCCCTGTGAGACCCATTTTGGACTTCTGACCTCCAGAACTGTAAGATGATAAATCTGTGTTATTTTAAGCCACTAAGTTTGTGGCGATTTGTTACAGTGGCAATTTGAGCAAGAGGAAACTCATACAGAGTCTTTGTTTCTTTTAATGTATAACAGAACAGAATAATAACAAATCGGGATATTTTTTAAATCTCCAGGATTCTACAGCTCTAACAAATCAGACTTCAGTTTTTTTTCTCCTTCCCCTCTAGTTCTTGCCCTAGGCACCTGCCATTTTTAGTTTTAGTCACACAGCCTAGTATAAATTTTGCATTCTGGTTTTTTCTCCACTGAATGTTTTTGATTAAGAATATTTGTTCTTGTTGCTGTAAGGTCTTTATAACTATCTTAAGAGGGCTGTAAATAAAATCAGATGAATACACTAAATTTAACTGCCTTTTTTTTTTTTTTTTTTTTTTGTCCACGGCTTGCAGGATCTTAGTTCCCCGACCAGGGTTTGAACCTGGGCCCCGGCAGTGAAAGCGCCAAGTCCTAACCACTGGACCGCCAGGGAATTTCCCTTAACCACCTTGTTAAAGGACAGATGTTTTTAGGAAGTAAAATCATGACTCAAATACAAAATGAACATGTTAAAGACTTTAGTTAACTCATTAATTAATGAGAGAACCAGTAGGACATTTTAATAAGTCCAGTAGGAATGCTGAAAGGAATTTGCTTAATATATACAAAATTGGCCAGTATCCACAGACAATCAGTTAAATTCCACTGGATGAAATCTGCATTTATTTCTCTGCACAAGAATCATCTGCATTATCATTTATTTCTCTGCACAAGAATCATCTGCATTATTACAATGTACATGATTGTAAAGTAGCTTAAAGAGAGTGAAAGGTGGAGACAACCCAGCAGGGTGGAGGGTGGATGGGTAAATGGAACACCCAGTAACTGGGGAGGGAGGGAAGCTCTTTCAAAGTATTTCACGTTTCCTGACACCCTATTGGCTACTTAGGTTATTTCCACTCTTGCTTTTATTAAAACAAAAAGTCAATATACATCTTTAAACATGTAGTTTTTTTCTTTCCTAAATATTTTGATTCTATAGGATAAAACACTAGAAGGAGGACTGTAGGGTCAAAAGAGATTTTTATGACTTTCAGTTCGTGTTGCCAAGTTGTATAAGCCTTTTCCCACACACCGAAAACAAACCCCACCTACGTCGCATGGCAGAAAATGGGTTGTCCCTTCCATGGTCTCCTTAAAAAACAAGCACTTTCTTTTTCGAGACGCCCACCCACCCATCCACCCACCCACTTTTCCCTCATGTTCCTTGGGTCAGAATTAAATCTGTGGAGAATTGACTGATCTGGACCAGAGATACATCACCCCTTCCCCAGTGCTGGCTCCCCTGAAGCCCAGCGCCTCTGAGCCCCAGAACAGTATCCAGGATCTAATGACTTTATTTTCCTTTTCTACGTTTTTCTATTTTTGAGAAGCATGACGGTTATATTCACAGTCCTAAGATTCAGGAGAATTCTAATTCTGCTTCTGACCTTTGCTACAGCTTAGACACTGAACTACCCTGTTTCTGAGCGTTTCCATTTGTTGAATGGATTCGGAGTGGGGGCTGGGGCGTGCATGGTAGGTCAGAGTGACCAGTGAACTTTAAGATAACTTCCAACTCTAAAACTGTAATTATCATGTGGCCACACACCTCCCCTGCCCCCCAATAACCAGGATGACAGTTTTGACTACAAAAAAGAGTTCTACTGACCCCTGTTTGTTCCAGGAAAGGGCTGGCCACACACCCTCTGCCCCTTTCTCTTTTGAAATGTCCCCAAACTGCCTGGCCCCTTGCAGCTAACCGAGGATGGCCAAATGTACTTGACTGGTTAGTCTGTCCCTCGTTCCATAAATCCTGCCTTACGGGAACGTTTTCCAATGAGATACTGTGTCAGTATTTCCTTTTTATTCAATAAAATATACTCCCTGACACCTCTGAACTGCTGCTGAAGCAAAGGTGACAACAAAATAGCTCCCATGCTGCAAGTTTCTGAATAAACAGGCTTTATTAACTTTATCTTGGACTTAGATTTGTCTTTGACATATGTGGGATGTGTGTCTGTAAGAATTCTGCCCTCAGCATGCACCTGCTTCCTGGATAAATGTGGGTTCACTTTGGTTGACAGCCTTGGACTGAACCGTGTTCTTAGGAACCACCGAGAAAGCAGAGTTTAGGGATTCTTGTTCAGCTCTCTAATTAAATTCAGTGAATTAATAAGAGACAGCTGACACCAAAAATGCATTAAAATTAAAATGCCAAGGGCAGCACTCTCCTGGCTTCTGCCCAGAGTGGGTCTTCTGAGTTCCCCGAGTTCCCTACATGCATCGGGCAGATTGATTACAGACCATCAGAAGCCAGGCTTTGCAGCAGCTGCCTTATAGAGTACACGGGAAAACAGCTGTCAGCTTTTATTAGGAAGGTGGAAATATTTGCTAGTGAGTATGTAGGTCTGATATATTGTTGGATCTGTCTGCCAAATGCCACTGTAGTTTTTCCTAGTTTAGAATTAATTTGTATATTTCTCAAAGCAATAGATGCCCAAGATTTAGGGAAATAAATTCAGTTAACCACAGAGTATATTTATGGTATGCCATCCCTGTGATCAGTGCTGTTCGAGGTGTTAGAAGTGAGTACAGGATAGGAAAGAAAGGTGCCACCTGCAAGGACCTTCCATTCTAGTGGAGTTCCAAAACATGAACAAATAAATAATGTCAGGTATCCAGAGTGTGACAGCAGTGAGGAGACTGGTGACGTAGCCAGCTGAAGGCTGGGAGGAACACTGTTCTAGGATAAATGGAACAGCAAGTGCAAAAGCTCTGGAGAGGTGGTGCATTAGGGGTGCCAGGAAAACAAACCTTTTGAGGAGAGCAGAGGTGTGAGGGGCAGAGTTGGGCAAGGGCCAGGTAAGGCAGGGTGTTAACGTTACAGGTTTATATGGTAAGCATGGTGGTGGCACTGGTGGATTTCAGCTGGGGAGTGATGTCTTTGTTTTTAGAAGATGTCTCTGGAAA